TTCCTCACACTCTTTCACACGTTGCTGATGCCACAGCGCCAAGACTTTGACATTTATTTTGAAGAAATTTGGACTAAGCAGAAGTTTACAGGTTTGTTTTAATTTTCTAATTATTTGACAAAGCCTTACAACTGTCACACATATTGAAACAAATGAAGACCAGACAGCAGTTCCTGATGCAGAACAGTTATGCTCTTTGAGAACACAAAAAAACACCCAAAAGAGATAAACAGTGATCAAGATATAGAGACATTTTTATTGATTATATCCTGCTTCAGTGTATGTGTACGTTACTTAACCATCATGTTTAATAACTTGGCCTTTTGGGGAAAAAAATGTTTTCCCCTTCTTACTCTCAAACTCCCCCCCCCCCCCCCCCCCAAAAAAAAAAGCAATCAAAAACCAAACCCAAAAACACAACAGAACCAAACCTAAAGGCTCTTCTTTTTCTTGATTTTACTTATTTCTCAGAGACTTCATTTGGGCTCAAGTGCACTTATACATAGTTGTTGCTTCAAAGAGTGTTGACTCTCCATGTATTTATACATCCCCTCACAATTACTTTGTAATGAAATTCTGCCTGTCACATGGTTCTCACAAGACCTTGCAGCAAATCACAGAAATTTGTTACATCTGTGAATCAACGTTGCTTCAGTTGTCCAGCAGACACCTTTAAAGTGCCTGAAATTTGGCACTTAAATACCTGTGATACTGATAATTACTCTTATTATTTATCCTTTCTTAGCACTTTATTCAAAACAGGTCAAACAAGACATGAGACCACCTTCTCACTAATTGTAAATGTAAAGATTGTATTTTAAATAAGAATTTTAAAATCTGAATGCCATATACTTTTCCAGTTGAAAAAAACTAAACAAAAACAAACAAAAACAAACAAAAAAACCCAACAACAACAAACCCAACAAAAATCCCTAAAAGCAATTACAATACATGAAAATTCTTGTTACTAATAGGATTTACACCATACACAATTTAACTATGATATTGGCAGCTCAGCATGCGGAGGAACCAGAGGTTTTTGGCTTATCTGTGCATATATTGTATTCTTAGTCAGAAATGCAGATTTTTCCATGTTAAGACTAGTCATTGTCAGATTGAAAAAATGACACATATATCCCTTTGGAATATCACAGCCCTTGACTACAGTCTAGGAAATCCCCCCTAGAATTCGACAGGCTATGTCCATTAAGGCAATCACACAGTTCTTCACTGCTGAATACTGATGTCACAGCAACAGAGCAGTATTGTCTAAAAAAGAATCCTAAGAACATTTCCTTAAGCAGGATTTTTTTATTTGACTCCAACCAGAGTCAATTCATGGCCATGAAAAAGATTGGACTGCATGCTTAGTATAAACGGGGTTTACTGATTACATCGTACACAAAAAAAAGTAAAATGTTCTTGACTCAGTAAATATGAAGTAAATATGCAGCCTGCAGTTGTGTTGGGGGACAAAGCACTCACAACCACTTTTGGTGCGGATGCCCCATCCCGGCAGGGCCTCATCCACCTAGTCTGCCTGCTCCTGAACAGGTGATGTGCTGCATCCCAAGGACACTCCACTACAACCTTTGGCACCAGCACAGAAGTTGAAGCCAGGGCTAAACGATACACCATGGACCAAAAGGTCCCATCCTGTCTGTCCTTCCATCTAAGCGTTGATCACGTTCCAAGCCCATGAAGGCTGGTACCAAAATGCTCAAGAGCACTGAGCCTTTCATTGTACTGGCTCCCAAACTCACATGGTGATAAGATTCCAGTTTCAACGTTTCTGGCTGTCTCTTTTCTAGGTAACATTTCTAAAAACTTACATGAATAGAATACGTCCATGGAACATTCATTCAACACTTGGAACATTAAACTTACATCATTGTATTTCATCATTGCTATATACCTATCAATGTGATTTTAAAAAGATGTTTTGTAACTCAAAAACCAAATAAACTATTATTTTACTGGATGTGAAAAGTCTTATATTCTACAAAAACAAGGAACTTAAAATAGGACAGCCTTATAAATGAATGTAAAGCTTCTGTTTATATTGCTTATCAATGCAAAGTTTTTTATTTTAGCAGCATTCTTAATAAATAAACAGCATTCTTAACTAAAGTTTTGAGTTGGAAGCCTATGTGTTTAATATCAAGGTCATGCATTAGTTTTTATATATAAGCCATTGCGAGGTACATTATCTCTAAGCTTTGCATTGTGATAGTGGTGCTTCAAGTAAAGATACTCCGTGAAAGCCAGGAGTAAATGTTCCATATGACAACCATTCTCTAAGATATAATTAGCGTAAGAGCAAATAAAGTATAGCCTGTATCATACAGAAATATATGTATGGTAAGGGATGTAAACATCTATAATGATCCCTGAGACTAATATGTTTCATTCTTTCTTAAGAATAAATACTCTAAATCATTGTTTTGAATGTCACAAAAGGTAGATCTTCTTTGCCTCTCAACATTTTTCCTATAATATGTATACTGTGAACTCAAAAAGCACTGTACTAAATTGTGTTCTTAACTAAATTCATTGTGTATAGACAGTATAGGACACCAATACAGAGGACATTTTTTCCATGTGTAATCAATTACAGCTACCATGCTCTCTGCTGAACTTCAATTAGCAAAAATCTATCTGTTTTAAAGGCTGAACAGTAAGAGTGAACATTTTTGAAGATTGTTTATTGAATTTTTCTAATTTAGCAAGTAGGAACATGACACCAGCTGCCTGGAAATGCAGAAAATATTTCATAGTAAATTACAGTAAATACCTCACTTTTAACTGAATGGAAAGTAATTTCATCTTATTTTTTGGTAAATGACACAGAAATCCACCTAGCTAGCATAATGGGATTCAATTCCTTCACAAATGACTGATCAAAATCCTTAGGAATATACTGTAACAATTCTGCATTAGCAGATAATGGTCACAATGACCTAATTGGACACAGTGACCTAATGAAAGGGTTTTACTTGTATTACGAAAAAAAAAAAAAGTAGGTATTAATACAATAAAGCATAAGAGATTGAGTTGTGTTAATATAATGCTTGCATTATTTTTAGTCATTCAATTCAACACTTCCATAATTTAGTTCAGGAGAAATCAGAATTTTCTTTAAAATGGGATGATTTGGAGCAATTATTTTATGCCAAGCATAGGATGATGTTTCTTTTTGCCTTTTTACAGACTTGAAACAGTTATAAAGGCAACATCATTTTTTAAGCACAAACATAACTAGAGCTAAACCCCCAAAAAGGTTTTGCATTAAGTAAATTTCAGTTCTGTATGTTGACATATTAATTCCTTGGTGTAAAACTTCTCCACAGAAGAAATAAAAGCTTATTTAATTCCATTTTTTAGCACCATTGCAGTTTCAAGCTAGTTCAAAGCTGCTCTACATAATAACGTAGATCAGTATTAGAAGATTACAGTTTCCAGTGTTTTAATCAATAAGCTGTCACACAGAAAGGCTACAAAAAATGCTGCTGGAACATACTGTTGACAATTTCACATTTCTTCAGTTATTAAAACCAGTATGAGTCATGCATTCACTCATTATCCTAAGCCTCTTTACCCATGCTGTCCCCTATTGTATGGTATTGCATTTTTGAGGTTTTTTCATTGTTTGGTTGTTGTTTTTTGGGGGTTTTTTTAATATTTTAACGTCTAGAAATACAGACTTGTAGCAGTCTTTTTCTAAAAGCACACAAACTCTTTTGAATTTATTTGGCTTTAGACTTGGTCTGATATCCAGTGAAGTAACATTTTTTTAAAGTCCCAGCACAGTTTCTAAGAAAGACTGTGTACTGTGCAGTTCATTCTCATTGCTAATCAAAGGCTTGAGTTTGCTTTTGATTTTTTACTTTATGTTCATATGACTCATATCACCCACAAATACTCATGCTATCCAGTGACCATGCAATCATGCACTGTAAATCAAGGTTCTTAAAAGGAAAAAAAAATCCTACCTTTATGTAGCCCCAGGAAACCGAGAGCAAATAATTTGCCTCAGGCATTTTTGATTTTTTTTTTTGTTTTTCCTATACTACCAATCTAAGCTAATCAGTTCTTTGCTGATACTGCAAAAGACTTCCAAGAAGAAATATTCCTTCTTTTCTCTCTAATTCTCGTTGCTGATCTTCAGGTTCTCAGCAACTGTGTGCACAGGAGGCACACCGAAATGAAATCCAACCGCGTGGTCTTCCGATTGTACAAATGCCATTTGTAAAACTCCAAGCATTCAGAGGCAACATTGAAGAGACATATTGTATGAGCTGAAGAAATATCTGAAGAGCTAGGGATATGCATATTTCCTGAACACCAGCACTTAATGAATAATGTATGTCAAGATGCTCAGCTGCTGGAAAGACTTGCTCTATCAACAGCTACCAAATAAGGACCTGAAGGGGAAGCCACAAACGGTGCCAGTAATCCCTCCCATAGAGCCTAACTAGCAGCCAATAGTATGTCACCCTAAAAGATATAAATCCAAGCCGCTGGCGACATGATGTATGGTAATTTCCCATTGGCCAGAGCTGGGAAGTCTCCTGGGCATGGGGTATTTTTTTATAAAACAGCAAATGCCATTTAATAATGGCATCCCCGCCTGCAGCATTCACACGCCATTCAAAAATAATTGGGTTAAGGTCTCCTCAATTCAACAGCATTTACCAGCTCCCTTCAATGGTTTTGCCATCCAAGCAGTTAAAATTAGTATTGTGTAACCCCCCGCACCGTGGCAGGGGGGTTAGAACTAGATGATCTTTAAAGTCCCTTCCAACCCAAACCATTCTATGATTCTATTCATGTGGACTGCCTAGCAATTTTAATTTTTCATACAGAAGTTCATTTTAATTTTTTGGGCTTTTGTGTTTTGGGGTTTTTTTGGGTTTTTTTTTTTGTGAAGAAAACCCAGCAGAAATACAGCTATCAGATTTCTTGAGCAGCTTGTGAGGTACTGTAACAATGAAAATGTTTTTGGCTTTTATGTCATCTAGATTAAAAAAATATCTAGTTAGATTACTGGGCAAGTCTGTCAGTTTCTACTGCTTTTTTATTTTAAGAGATAAAAGCAGTTATTATTAAGATAAAGTTGGCCATGTGTCTTAGTACCCAGTAAACATTAAATTTACATGGAGAAGTGAAATAAGAGTCCTCACATTCTCTCTGTATTTATTCAACTTTTGCTCTTTCTGCCTTGGCAGACTAATATAATTAATTAAAGCTATACATCATAGAAAAAAGGGATTAATTGAAAGCAGAGTGTGTCAGTGAGCTGACTCAGAGCCTTAGATAAAATATCCCACCATCTGTCATTCAGAGACCAAAACTTAAAAAGAATGCATTATCTTGCACCACTTTGTGCAAAGCATAAACACAATGGCAGCATATTTCTAAGTCTTTGTTGCATCAGAGGAAGGGAGAGCTTCCCAATATGACAATGGGCAAACGTCTAAGGACAATGAGGTGTGGTGTTCAGCCTAAGCCCTCACTGCTGATTCACTGGAAGATGATAACCAACAACGGTCATAAGGGAGGTTTGGCTGAAGTGGTTTCTACTTCTCTGGGTGATGCTACACAGCAACATCAGCAACACTAAGTGCTTGAAAAAGAACTGAACCGGCAAAAAATCAATAGGGCAAAATATGATATTAACAAATTTCTTCCTTACAGAAGAGAAATATATAGGAATGTGACAAGTCGATACTGTCAACAGATCATCTGCAATTACGTATTTTCATATGGAAAGCATACTGTTTTGCTTAGAATAGGGAATATAAAAATATAATGAATGAACACATTACTGATGTATTTTCTTTATAATATGCACCCTGGATCTATACAGGTAGATGAATGTAAAACAATTAAGATTTGGAAAGCAGACCTGAGTCATTAGAGACTCAGGAAGACATTAAAGCAGCCCAAAAAGAAGTTCTGGAAAGCATTTCTCCTGACTCTTCCAGCTCAGCTTTGTAACACTGAACAAAGCTTGTCTACACCTGTGTTGCTTTGTTTTCTGATCACCTGCAAGACAGCACTGCTGCCACACACCCAGCATCAAAACTGATAACTGAAAATGTGCTGCCTCTCTTCAGAAGGCAATTTCAATTGTGACTTAGAAACCAGTAAAATAATAGGCCTTACACATCCGGCTACTTAGAAAGTGAAGCATATGTGTATGAAAGTTTGGTTGCAATAGGTACTACAAACAGATATTGGAAAGCCAAGTTTTTTAATACTTCTCTTTCTCTGTTACTTTAAAGGCTGGTTCTTCCTTAAATTTTAAGAACAGTCCACTAAAGAAAAGAACTTGTTTCAGACAAGGAATATTCAAAATGGCTCCTATATAAATCACAGCAGTTGTTTAGCATGCATAGAAAAAAACCTTCCTTGATTTTTTTTTATTCCCCTCCACTGTATGAGACAGACACATCCATAAGAATGACTGAACTACTGTTCATAAAATTTATTGAAGGATGGTACTTACAGAGCTATTAGCTAGATAATTTTGATGTAAAACCATGAAAAACATTTTCCCCCAGTGTATGACATTTTAGCTGCATATTAACTGGACTGGTATTAGGAAATTACACCTGATATTAACAATCTATTACTAATTTATATGATTTTTCCAAGACCCACAGCCTTAACCTCATAAAACTAACATTTGCTGTAATACAATTTACTAGTCTGATTGCGCTGATTCAGAAAGCAGACCTGTAACTCCAGCTACACATAGGAGTATGTCAGTAGAAATTTATAGTTGGGAAATTCACACCAGCACTGATCTACAGTAAGAATTTTGGCTGATTTCCATCCTCAATTCCCAGGTTGGAATAAGTGAATAATTGGCTTTAGAGAAGGTTATGGTGGATGAGTGCACAGCAAACAGCTGCCACACACAACTGAATAATTAAAGCTATTTAAATAAGAAAAACACAAGTTAGAGATAAGTGGAAATCCAGCAATGTGAAAGAGAAGTTCTTGTTCTCATATACACATACGTCCATGAAGATAAAACATGGAGAAAGAAGAGAGTAATGGCATTTTCTACAATGGTTCCAATCAAGCAACAAATATGGAAATGAAAAAGGTGTAATTTGAAATGACAGTAACTGAGTAATAAAATAATTCAGAAAAAGGGAAGTTTTTAATGAGCACTGTTGTGTGTTTTGAAAGAATCAAGACAATGATCTTGAAAGGCAGAAAGATGATGAAGTCTCTTAATATCCACAGGAAATGTTAGCTATTGTTTCATCAACAAGGCTGGACAACTTTCTCCAAAGGAGTCATGAAAAGAGGTGGCAGAGATCCCAGGAACTGTGGTGCTCAGCTTCAGTAAATTTTGAAAGACTGCAAAAAATTGTTAATTTTGTGCCAATTAAAGTTTGCAAGCAGGATGGCTGAGTAACTTCAGGCCACCTCACAAAGTGTCAGTCCTGGGTAAAATAATGGAAAAGCTAAACACGCATACTCTAGGCATCTGCTTGATAAAGAACTAAGACATGGGAATGTAATTAATGCCAGTCAGTACTGGTTTATGTCTTTGAACATGTAATATTCTTGGATTGTTGTAAGGCAACTGATTTAGTACTGTATAATATTCTGTCACAGCACTCCCAGTGTTGAGAGACGACACATTAAATGGGTTAAGAACCTGACTATCAACCCATTTCTAATAACCATCAACAGGCTGTCTTCATCTAAAAAGGCTGTTCTAAGTCAGGCTCTGAAAGACTTGAGACCACTTTATGGTATTGCATTTCTTCATTGGTCAGCTGGAATTAAGTCACTACTACGAAGACTTCCACAGCACAAGAACTTCCTGGGAACAGAAGGAGGGGGGAAGGATAGACAAACTATGAAAATTTGGAAGTCATAATGGGTAGCCTCACTTGTTTAGTATGCTAAATTACAGTTCAAGGAATTTAACTGCAAAGATACTTGACAATAAGGAACACAGTCCATGAATACAAAGTGGTGGACTACGCTGAGGAAAGTAGAAACCCTAAAGAGTTTATAGAGTCACAACAGGATATCCCGAGCGGTACTGTGACCCCCCAAACTTGGCATCTTCTGTAATGCTAAGCAAAAAGAGAGGTACTCTAAACATACCATTCTGGCCACTCTAGTAATGGAATAGGGCATACATAGTGTCTCTCTTCTCCTAAATGTTACCATATACAGCACATAGGAAAGAAGAAGAGATGAAATCCACTGGTGGCTGAGAACTGATGGCTATAATCAGAATACATTCTTAACTCTTCTGAAGGAGTCTCAGCTTTAAGGATCCCAACTGTAGCATAATTATGCTGCTTTAAAAAGGCTTTCTTCATAGCCTCTTACTTGTCAGAATTACATTCATTAAACACAATGGATTAGCCTAACTGTACCATTTTACAGTTCTTTTCATTTGGGAATATACAATTCTCATGCATCAAATATGAGAACTTTATGTTGCTGGAAAGACCGAAACAACAATGTTCTTCTGAATTATTTTAGAAAAAATACATAGTAAAACCCATGAGCTGAGCTGTTTATTAAAGAATTAGGGTCTTTATTAGTTAAAGTAAAAAATAAAATAAGAAAGTATACTTCTGGTAAAATACCTACTTCAGTGTTTGTATTTACTGCCCTCTAGCGATAATATAAGCATTAGCTATAAGTATTTAGGAACGTATCAAACGTTTTTCAGACCAGAAATTTCACAATGTGATCCTCTCATTGTCAACCACACCACAGCAGGGTCTTTATAGGTATCCTCTGCAACTGCAGTATTTTCAATAGACACTCCTGAGCAATTGCACAAGCAACAAAAAATTACACCCTATTTCAACTCTTGTTTTGGATACCACTGGCAATCTTTAAAGACACAATATTCACCTACAGTTTTCTTGAAGGAATGCTTCTACATAATGACAGAATTGTATGCATATAATGGTTTCTAAAATAACCTGCAGTAAATGGGAGCTGAATTTCAACAAATACTTTGCTGTTTGCAATATTCTGCGATTTA